ACAAGGTCAAGGCTCCTGGTCAGTTGAGTTCATGCCCTTCCTTCTCCACCAGTGATGAGGTGGGGAGGGTGGAGACTAGCAGAAGGGAGGGGGGTCCCCACACCCAAACAATGCACTTTAAAAAGCAACAGATTGCAACAAAAGCTTACAACACTGAAAAGTCATTTCCTCCTTTTATCCTTCCAAATTCTTCACTTCCTGAAAAAACAAAAACAAAAAAGGCCAGGAGGACCTCATCCAGCCTGAGTTGCTGGGCAGAGCTCAGCTTCTTCCAGAGTAGGGGTGGGGGTGGGAGCTGGGGATGCTGGGCCTTCCAGAGTAGGGATGCTGGGCCTGGGAGCAGCTGGGATCTCCAGCCAGTGTACCTCTGTCATTCCAGCCTGAGGCACCCTTAGAGGTAGTAAGTGGCCAGGCCTGGGGCACCATTAAAGGTAATAAGTGGTAAAAGGTAAAAGGGCTTCACCGACAGGGAGGAAATTAACACTGTAGGTTGAATTACTACTTGAGTTTCACATAATCTGTTAGACTGAAATAGCCCAAGGCGTAATTGTTCATGTATATAAACACAAAATAGCTAATAGACTACCCCCAGAAAGAATAGGCCTATAGCACACGGAATCATCATAACAACAGGGCTGGAAAAGGCGCAGATGATGGTGATATCGACAATGATGGTCACAGCTACCACTGGAGTCCTCAGTGCCTTCGAGGGGCTGGTGCTAAGTCTGACAGGCTAATCTCTTTAAATCCACTGTGACCCTATTGGACAGGATTATTCCCATTTCACAGGTAAGCAACCTGAGGGTCAGTGAGGGAACTAACTGGACTTGCTCAAGATTAAACAGCCAAGTTGGGATTCACACCTGGACCAAGGAGGTTCTATAAGAACTACCACTGCTTTACCTTAAAAAGCAAACAAAAACAGGTTCTAGCCCCCCTGCAGGAGGAGTGAGCCAGGCTGTGTGGTTCCACTCCTTTTCCATTCCAGGTTTTCCAAGTCCTGACCCTAGCAGGTAGGGTCAGTCAACTACAGGCTCTCCAGGTTCTGCCTCCTCCCTGAGGAGGAGGGAAGACAGTGGCCCCAGGACCTTTACAGGGTTTCGATCCTGCCGGCCACCACCTAATAGTGACCCAGAGATCTTGGCTGAGTCATTTCAGTTCCCCTAATGAATGGTGGGGTCATGGTCACAGTCACTCCCCAACAAAGGCTCAAACGTCCCCTAGTTTGGCCATGACTCGAAAAGTTAAACATAAGAATTACAGGCAAATCTATTCCTAGATATACACCCTAAAAAACGGAAGACAGATGTTCAAACAAAAACTTCTGCACAGACATTCACAGCAGCACTTTTTCTAACAGCGAAAAAGGTGGAAACAACCTAAATATCCCTCAACAGATGAGTGACTCTAAAGCGGGGGTACAGCCTGTTAAAAAAAGAAGCAAGTCAAAACGGAGTCATTTATGCCAAGTCCCACTAAACCTTAATACCTGGGTTTGGTTTCAGCATCTCCCAGGGGTGGAATTTTCAACCAAACAATTTGGAATTTCGGGGCAGCACTAATGAGGTAATTGCATTAAGAATTCCCTGTCTTCCTTTCCAAAGGAAGGTACTGCCCGAAGTAATCTTTCCTTTGCTAACCACCTACTAGTCTAATGATAAAAACCTGCTATTCTGTACAACTCCTTGGAGCACCCTCTCCTCGCTATATGCGGGGCTGCCAGATTCCTGAGTTGCTTGGCAAAGCCAATGAGATCTCCAAACATACTCAGTCAAGTTTTGTTTTTAACAATCCATACAATGGAGTATTTATTCAGTCACAGGAAAGTAATGAGGTTGGAAACAACCTAGGTGCCCCAAAACAGATGACTAGATCAAAAAGATGTGGGGCCTCCCTAGTGGCACAAGGGGTTAAATCTCAGCACTATCAAGCTATCGGCACCATGAGTTCGATCCCCGGCCAGGGAGTTAACCTAAATGGTGCATTAGACCCCTCCTGTCTCACCCACAGCTTCCCTCAGCAGTTTATTTCAGTCAATCTGCCTATTCTGCTCTCTACTCTTTGGTGACTCCTGTCACCCCCACACCTCTGGCCTGTACCCCACTTCTTGTATGCACAAATAAATCTTTTTTTTTTTTAATGTGGACTAGATCCACTATGGAATACTATTCAGCAATCAAAAAAGATAAACTCATGCCATTTGCAGCACCATGGATTACGGAGAGGATTATGCTCAGTGAACTCAGAAGGAAAAAAGAAAAACATCAGATGGTTTCACTTATAGGAGGACTACAGGGGAACCAAATAAGGGATCAAGGGGGAAAAAAAGACAAAACTAGCAGGCAACTATAAATCGGAGACATTCAGCAGGGGTGGGAGAGAGGAAAGAAGAGGGATTAAAACAGGGGTGTGATGAGCACAAGAGACCAATGGTGACTGTTCAGGGGTGACTGGGTGGTGAGAATTTTATGGGGGCTACACCTGAGAGGAGAAATCAAACTGTACAAAAATGAATAATGATGTAAAATATATTGAGAGAACTTAAAAAATAAATAAAAATAAATAAAAGTAATGAAGTACTACAACATGGATGAGTCTGGGAAACATGTATGCTAAGTGAAAGAAGCCAGATACAAATTGTCACATATATGACACCCCATTAATATGAAATATCCAGATTGGAGGGGTCCACAGAAGCAGATTCACAACCACCCACTATATGACAGCAGCCAGTGTGGCTGCAAGTACATCCCATAATTCACTCATTCATTCATTCATTCATTCAACACATATTTAGTATCAACAATGTGCCAGACACTGTCCTAGGGGAACAATACAAAGCCCCTGTTTTTTAGGGCATCAGTGTTCTAGAAGGAGGGACAGCTAATAAACAGAAAATAATCAAACCAGATGACCTCAGATGTGGTAAGTACTCCAAAGGGCTAAGCAAGCTAACAAGGCAGGGGAGTAAAGGGAGGGCAAGTCTCCACACAAGATGGCCCCGGAGGATACAGAGGTGATATTCGAGCAAAGACCCGATAGGAAGAAAGAAGAGGCTGTTGTGTGAAGATCAAACAGAAATGTAGTCCAGGTAAAGAGAACAGCAGATACAAGGGTCCTGAGGCAGAAATGACCTTGATGCATGGGAGGAAGGGGAAGCAGCCCAATGGCAGGCACAGGACAGGTTAAAGGACAGCGGCAGGTGTTAACCGTCTGGGGAGGTGAGTTGGGGTCTCATCGCCACACTCACTGGCTGCCATGGAAAAGCCTGGAGTTTATTCTCAGAGCAGTGGAAGTCCCTGTAAAGTTTTACAGTCCTGCATCATTGTGCGCATGTCACAGAGTGAATTACACAAAGCTGAGTAATGCAGCCTACTCCATACCTGGGTCCTGGGGACACAGTGGCCCATGTGGTCTGTGCTTTGGAAGAGGGGTGACGTGACCCGCTGCCATGTAGAAGGGTGCACACTTCCCACTCCTGAAACCAGACCCCACGGCCCCCACTCTCTCCTCCTACTGTCCTCCCTTGAGGTCACACAGCAGGACACGGTTCACAAAGTCTACAAAGTTCCCAGCACAGGCCCTTCTTAGCCTCCCACTTGCGCCAGTAGGCACAAGGTCATAAAACATGAGACAGGGAGACATTTGAAAGGGCCAGTTAGAATGCTCAGAAAGAGATGCTTAGATAGTCCTCTGCAGATCCAAGAAAGATGCCCTCACTCCCTCGCTCTGGGAAACCTGGGTTGGCATCGTAAATGTGACAGACTGTGCTCAAAGAAAAACCAAGCAGAAAAATATTTGGACGGTCTTTATTGAAAGGCTGACACCCAGACACCCTCAGCGGGGCTAATAACCAATCTAGCAAAGAGTTAGCATCAGTCCTGCACTGGCTTCCGTTTTCTGGTTACTGAGCAAGTTCCAGGGGTTTGGGTCTCTGCTCCATTTCCCCTTCTAATTCTAGATGGTAAGAACTATCCAACAGGAAGGGCCCAGTGCCCAAATCTCACTCATGTTTTATTCAGATCCTTCAAACAAAACCTCTATTCTCAAACTGAAATAAAGAAAATGCTGCAGATAAAACTCACAGCAGGGTCTATAAAAGAAAGGGCATACAATATTAATGGGGATACGCTCAACAACTAACGTTAGCTTCTTTAAGTGTATATTGGTTGTTCTGAAGGGATATTTTTGGGGGTCTATTTGTGTGGGTTTCTTTTTCAAGAAAAAAGGAATATAATACTTTACTGGCTACTATTTACTGTGCCTTTCTAAGTTCAGGCACTGTGTTAGGCACTTCATTTGTCTCAATGAATGCCCCTAATGTCCTATTCCCATTTTTTTTTAAGATTTATTTTATTTTTTTTATTTATGCATACAAGAGCTGGGGTACAGGCCAGAGATGCAGGGGGTGAGAGGATTCACCAGAGACAGAGTGGGGAGCAGAACAGGTGGATCCACTGAAATCCACTGCTGAGGGGAGCAGCGGGGGAGACAGGAGAGGTCTGCCGTGCCATGCGGGTAGCTCCCTGGCTGGGGCCTGAACTCAGGCTGCAGAGGCTGGTGATAGCCTGACAGAGCTGAGACTTAACCCCTGCGCCACCAGGGAGGCCCCCCCCCATTCCTATTTTAGTGCTGAAAGAAAGCTAAGGCTCAGAGAAGGCAAGTCACCCAGCAAAGCTCACACAGCAATAAACCGCTAAGGCAGAATCGGTTCCAAATTCGTCACCCTGTAAAGCCGGAGAAGTCTGGGGGGCGGGCACCCCGGGCTGGCAGGGGGGGCCCGCGAGGGTCTCTCCAGCTTGTCACTGAACAGGTAAGGGGTGGCCGGGGTCCCTCGGGAAGGCAGCCCCCTCGCCGCGGCTCCCTCCAGTCTCCTCGGGGGTCGCGGGCCCTGACCGGCGAGCGGGACGCGAGAGCCCGCGGTGCCCAGCCCGGCGCCCCATTCCCGGCGGGGGAGCCCCGGGACGCCCCCCGCGCCCCGACCCGCGGCCGCGCCTTACCTTGGTGGAGGAGGGGCTGCCTGCCCGGCCCGCCGGGCGGGAGCGCGCTGCCGCTGCCCTCGCTCATGGCTGCGCCCCGCGCCCGCGAGAGCCGCGGGGGACCCGCTCGGCCGCCGCGCCCCGCAGCCCCCGCCCACCCCGCCCCGGGCCCGCCCCCAGCCCCGCCCCCGGCCCCGCCCCCCCCGGCCTGCCGGGATTCCAGGCTCCCGCCGACGTCACAGAGGGGGGCGGGGCTACGGGAGGCCACGCCCATCAGCGCATTTGGGCCCACGCGTGGGGCTGGGTGGGGGAGAGGGGCTGGGTGGGGGGGGGGCTGGGGGGGAGGTGGGTGGGGGGGCTGGTGGGGGAGGGGGGCTGGGGGGGAGGGGGCTGGGTGGGGGAGGGGTGGGTGGGGGAGGGGGCTGGGGGGGCTGGGGGGGGGGGGCTGGGTGGGGGGGGGGGGGGGGGGCTGGATGGGGGAGGGTGGGCCGGGGTGGGAGCGCGCTGGAGACCTGGAGACCCGCGAAGGCTCCAGCCCGCCCCCGAGATAAGGGGCGATCTCCCCAAGTCTTATTAATTTAAAACAGTACAATAAAAATAAGCAAGACATCAAACAAGCGTATCTAGTAGGTTACCATGTGGATACCAAGAGGAAATATGTATGCGTGGGTGTGGAGATAGATACATAGATAAGTAGACGCATAGATGGATACATAGATAGATAAGTAGACGCATCAAGGTCACCACAGGTACATGGATACATAGACACTAGACAGGTAAATCCCTGAGACAGCTCGCGGGTGGGAAGCTGGGTGGCAGAAGCACCAGGGAGAATTTTCCTGCGCGCTGTTTCCTTACAGGTGGCGCCGTCCCCACGGTTCACCTGTGTTCATTCCTACCTACCTGAGCACGAGCAACTTAAAACTTGCAATTGAAATAACTGCCAAATATAAACGCATGCTAAATAGTTACATTAATGTATTTATAATTATTTTATATAACATATTCAAATGTATATGGAGATAATTGTATATATGGTTTTGCCAAATGAGATAAATAAATGGGGGAGAGTGGATAAATCTGTGCAGAAGAACTCCCAGGCATTTCTACCTGTCCTTGGAGGAGGCGGAGCCTGACCCCTCTCTCTTCAGGTAAGGGCTGCAGCAGTGACTTCCTTCCCAAGGACATCCTGGAAGGGGAGGACAGTGACTTTACCTTGCTAAAACCTGGCACTTTCTCAGACAGATGGTCAAAGCCAACTTCCATGGGGAGACGTCGATTTGATAGTGTGCCCCCTGGATACCTGTGATGAGAGGACACTTTACCTGTGGAGTCTTTCTCTCCAAAACCCAAAGCCCCTGCCCAATCATAAGAAAACATCACACACACCCCATCAAGGAACACTCTACAGCAACACCTGGTTGGTACTACTCTGACCTTTCAAGGTCACCACAGAGGAAACAACCTGAGAAACTGACCAGAGGAGCCTAATGAGATGTGACTGCTAAGGGTAAGGTGGTAGCTGAGACGGGGTTATGGCACCCAAAATAGTAACAGATCAGCAAATCTGAATCAAGTTTGGACTTTATGTTATTATGGTATGTTGCTATTGGCTCATCCACTGTGTGAAATGCCCTAGACTGATATAAGGTAATAACAGAGACGCTGAGCCTGAGATGGATGTAAAACGGGGTTCTAGTTCGAGGTCCCTCCATTCTATGTTGAGCTCAATCACCTGAAGGGCCTGGCAGAGTACCTGGGGAGAAAAGTGGAATCTGGATGCCGAGATTACACTTATGCAAAAGAAAATCCAGAGACAGATATTAATGCAAAACATAAACCAGGGAAACACTAAAAGGCAAGGCAGAGGGAGTGAAAAAGGGTAAATATCCAGATAGAAACCAAGTCCCGGGATGCCACTTACGGCAGTGACTACAGAGAATAATACCATATCATGCATTTGAAAGTCCTTAAGAGAGTCTATCTCAAAAGTTCTCATGACTAGAAATAGTGTGACTATGTAGGGTGACAGGTCAACTCCGCTCATTGGGCCAATCACTTCACATGCATGAATATCAAATCACATGGCACACCCGAAAGGAAGGTATGTTACATGTCAATCGTAAGAGTGGAAGCCCTTCCTAAGTCTGACCCAAACCCAGAAGCCAAAAACACATAAGGTCAAGTACATACACGTTTTGAATTCTACACAAGCGATGACATTTGTACATTTGCCTTGAGATGCTGTTTATAGCAGCAAAAGACTGGAAGCAGCCCCCACCTGCAGAGCTGGGGACTGATGAAATATAGTTTGACACACACATCCAGGTATTATATAGCTCTGGATGGAGACACAAGAGAGTTCTTCATATAGAAGTGCTGAAAGTACAGAAGTGTTGTATTAGGTAAGTTACCCTTTGGGTAAAGAAAGAACAAAAAATATGCATCTGTTTGTAAATGCATAGTATCACCCACGGTCAGTGGGTCTGGTTGTTCAGGTAAGATTCTGGAATGTTCACCTAGGGCGTTCCCCTGGGTGCTGCCCTTATCACTGGGTCCCTAAGTCCATGTGGGGCTGTTTGATTTGCCTCCCCAAAGTGGGTTTATGCTTTGACATTGGTGACCTCATCTTATATTTGACATGAGTGACTTCATTCATAGCTTTATTAAGCAACACAACCATTTAAGCAATAAAATGCTCTTCTCACCCTCTCTCTGGGAGGATCCATCTCAGCAAGAGTGGAATCTAACAAAGACCAAGCTAGGCAGTCCTCTCCCTGCTCCTGAACTCCATCGCCCTGTGGACCTAATAGTGAGAGGGAGGGAACATCGGGGCAATTGTTATGTTACATTTGTATTACAACCCCCTGCATCTGTGTGTGTGTGTGTGTGTGTGTGAAGTTACAGAGTCCTCTTTCCAGGAAGGAACAATGTGTTATGATGTGTTATGCTTCTTTTCATGTTAAAAGGTTCCTGTTTGCACTGTACTCAGTTCTTGTATGCATAAATAAATAAATTTCTTTTTTTTTTTTTTTTAAAAAAAAAAAGGTCCTGTTTGCAGAGACGGGGGCTGGGGTGGGGGAGAGCTACAGTGGACTCTGGAATCAGAGCACCTGGGGCTCACAGCTGGCTCTGCCATGCACTAGCTGTGTGATCTGGAGCAAGTTGCCAAACCTCTCTGTGCTGCTGTTGTCTCATCTATCAAATGATTCTCTCATAATAGTATCTACCGCCAAAACTGGGCTGAGAGTAGAGTAAGGCAGGCAGGTCCCCAGGAGGAACTTTTAAGGAGACACTCTGAGAGTTTTTCAAGTACAGGGTCAGCACCTAAGAGTGAGTATCCCCCAGCTTCCCCCTCCCACTAGGCCCCAGTCTAGACCAGCCCTTAGGGTGCTGGGAGGCCATAATGAGGTCATCTTTGTAAAGCACTTAGAAAACTACCTGGCCCATAGTAAGTGGTGTATAAGTGTTTGTTAAATACACTAGATCTTTTTCATTAAATACTTGTGTTACTAAAGGGTAAGGTTTTTCTTCTTTTTATGTAATTTTGCCTGGTGTTCGCCATGTAAAAAAACACCAAAACCAGTGACCTGGGTTTGTTGGAGAAATTCCTTCGCACTGTAGACGTCCTGTTCCATCCCAAGAAGCGCGTGAAGTCAGCTTGCGCCTTGTGGGTGAGCATTTGCGTTTGCTTGTCGAGATGGCAAGTTGGGGGATTTTAAGGCATTCACAGCATGTGGGATATTCTGACTCATTAACATTCCAGTTATATCTGTAAATTATATTCCCTTTGTCAGCCTTTATTATCCTTCTTTAGGGTCTTTTTTCAGAGTCAAGACTTGGGTCCACCCAATCTTCGCAATTTCAGGAAAAGCCAAATGCTACAGCAATTTGTGGTCCTGGGCATGAAACACATTTGCGGACACTGATAAGAGACCACCAATGGGGGCCTCCCCTGGTGGCGCACTGGTTGAGCACTGGGCTGCGAAGCTGCCCGCAGCTTCTACAGCGCCGGTTCGATCCCCAGCCACAGATGAGGGTCCCACATGGTGCGCAGACCCCTCCTGCCGCCCGCTGCTCCCCTCAGCAGTGTACTTCGTCAGACTGCCTGTTCTGCTTTCCACTCTGGCTCTGGTGAATTCTCTCACCCTCCCCCACTTCTGACTGTACCCAGTGCTTGTATAAATAAATAAATCTTTAAGAAAAAAAAGAGAGACCACCAATGGGACAAACCTCCTCTTTTGATACAGCCTTACCTGTTCACTAAGACTTCGGGAGGAAAGAGCAGACCAGTGTTCCAGTGAGACAACTCACCTGGGATTTTCAGAAATGCCACTGTCATGAACACACACACGTACAAAATGATGGGACAAATTAAAAATGAAGCTATTCAAGGAGATTAAAGAACAATAAAGAGACATGAAACTAAATGCAACTCATGACCTGTGACCGGATTCTGGCCTCGTTCCTCCATGCAGGACTCTCCACAGAGGTTCTTGGTCCTCCTCACAAAGTGGTGGCTGACTTCTCCCAGAGAAAGTGGTTCTGCAGAGAGCAAAAGGTGAAAGTGGCAGTGTTTTTATGATCCAGCCTTGGAAGTCACATGCTGTCACTTCCACACGATCTTATTGCTAGCTGACTCACATAGCACAGCAGACCTCTCCTGTCTTGCCCGCTGCTCTTCTTAGTAGTATATTTCAGTAGAGCTGCCTGTTCTGCTCCCCAACCTCTGGCCTACACCCCAGTTCTTCTAGGCAAAATAAAAAAAAAATAGAAATTGGTCAGCCTCCCTAGTGGCCCAGAGATTAAAGTCTCAGCACTATCAAGCTATCGCCAGCCCCTGCAACCTGAGTTCAATCCCTGCCAGGGAGGTGACCCACATGGAGCAGCAGACCTCTCCTGTCTTGCCTGCTGCTCCCCTCAGCAGTGTATTTCATTAGATCCATCTGTTCTGCTCCCCACTCTGTCGCTGGTGAATCCTGTCACCCCTTGCACCTCTGGCTTACACCCCAGTTCTTGTATGCATACATAAATGAAATAAATCTTAGGACCTCTCTTGTGGCACAAGGGATTAAGATGCAGCA